GCAAATAAGAACGATAAAGAGCTATCAATACAGAACGAGAAGCAGAAGTAGCGAAATGAACACAGACAATTGTATCAGAATATTAAATGACTCAAATCGAAAACTCACATAAAAAAATTGTGGGATTGATCGTCACGGCTGAAAGGTCGAGCATGTTTGGTGTGACGGGGATTCGTCAATTTTGCGTTTCTCTAGTTATAGCTTTGATATCATTTTGTCATTTTGTCCCTTCCGTAATATATCCTGCGGACGTCCATGGCAGCTATGACTTCTAAGCTCTACTATTTACTCCAATGTGTGTGTATATGTACGTTATACAGACAATTAATATAACAATAATAAAGTACCTGTTGTTTGACACTTGATGAATTATTTACTTTTTGAATCAGAATTATCATCATTCAACACGCAGTTCGTTTCCAGAACACCAAACGATTAACTACAAAATGGCCAGGTGGTCAGGGAACTCGACTCGCAATCTGCGGGTCGCGGTTTTAGTCCACGGTTGCTCACTATAGCTGCCATGATGCTCTTTTCTCTCACTGTGGGGAGGCCAGTGGTTTCTCTTCACTTTCAGCTTGATCGATGATAATTTTACTTGACTAATACTCCCAAAGATACCTTAACAACAGTCGTCCTTAAAAAGAGATGAATATTAACCCTTTGACTGCGACTTCTTTAAACGCGAGCGGAATTTTTGCGAGGCGTACACTGTATCCAGCATACTTGAATTCAACTACCAGTGGCAGACCGTACCCAACATGTATTCGACGAATCAACAGTCAACGAGTTAGAACAACTTAAAATGTGCTGATTTGACCCCTTTCTGGAATGTGTGTGAACCTGAATCTCTTTTTCTCTAAAAGATAAAAAAAAACTCATTAAATGTGGCTTATCTACATTAATTATGCACTCTGATAAACCTTCTGGGAATAATTCCTGTGTAACATTATCCGCTCCTTGTTGTAAACTCACTCATTCCTCTTGGATACTGTTCTAATTACAAGAATTATCAGATGCATACTAAGTACCTTCATTGCATATTCAGATAATCAAATGGATAATCGTCAAACACATCCAGTCTAACAAAGAAGGGTTATCAACTCTTCCTCATCCGCACAACTAACATCTTTAACCTCCAAGGAAAGTAAATGTTCATCTACTTCAACAACGTCCATTATTAGCACCAATCTCAAACAGACAGTTTCAATTACATTATCCCTTAATTGCACCCATTCTGAAAATACGGTGGAAAATTTTCTTTCTATGAATCTGTTACTAAAATAGGTCTATATTGCACACAAAAAATGTTTTATGAAATATATTGTGGTAAGTTATAAAGGGGTACGTTACCTAGAAATAACATTGTTCAATTGAGGAACCAATAAAAATAATCTCATAGTTTATATAGACTGTTGCCTGGAAGTAGGGGCATTCAAGTACAGAACTGAAGCATTTGTTTATGCGTAATAAGCAACAAAGATAGATTTGTTGCCTGTACGTTACAATGTGCAATATAGGGTAAAGATGTTTCCCTTATAGAAGATTATAACATACCAAATAACTATGGTTTTAAAATTACTAGCAGTCTTGTGATTTCTAAAATAACTGGATAAGTATCGAAAATCAACATTAATTGCACTTGTATTTATGGAAAAGCTACTGGTATCCAAATTATTGTAATAGTATAAGCTAACGTACGATGTCTACACAAATTACTGTGATATTCGTAATATGTATTACGTTTCATATAAACTGAGAAAAAATGTATATACTACAATAAATGAATAACATAGATTTTCAATTACAAGTAGATACAATAAAGTTTTACCTTTCTGATGAAACAATCACAAGAACAAAAAGTACATTCAAACAGTTTATTATCAGCAATCTTCAATGCCTCTCCATCATAATTGTAGCCTAATAATCTTACGGATATCAGCATTTAGATAAAACGTAAAACATAATACTTGGAATAAGATTAATAGAGTTGTATTTGCAAAAGAAAAAAAAAAAAAAAAAAAAAAAAATGAAATACGTTGTAAATAGAAAAATATTACTGAACTCAGAAAAAGAAGTTATAAAATTTAATACGCTTTTAAAAAGTGCACATTCAACAGTTCAAAAGTTGATGGCCATTTACATAGACGGGAAAACAAAAACAGGAGAGAAATTACATTGAGATTAAGTATTTACCTATAAGTATATGAAAAACAGATTTAATAGTTATGCATACTGTGTGCAGCAGTGAATAAAACTCTTTGTTACTGACCACAAAAATCTAAGTTAGTTCCTAATACCATAAACCATGTTAATTATTAATTATAAAGTTTAGTTTCTATTTTTGTTGTGATACAAATTAATTTATAATAAAAAAATCAGAAATTTTAATATACAACTAAACTTGCAATTATTTCAACCATGATGTTATGCCCACAGCTGAAAAATATGGTTCTTGTTGTCCTGTTGTCATTTGTTTTTGCACAAACTAAAACGGTTTATTTTCATGAATAAATTAATAACCATGACTATTGCATCAAATTCACAGGTACAACATCATCAAACTCTTCTACTGTTTATCATATACCCTTACAAAAATAATGGTGCTGGCAAGCCAGAGTTGAATCCCTGCAATAATACAAAATATTTCACATACTTCAAGTTGTGTGTGCATTATAAGTGAAGTGAATCCATTAGCATGGATGGTGGGTGGTAGCATGCTGCTGATTGGCTGCTTTCCCTAGAGACACTACTTTAAAAAAAATAAGGATGGTGGCATACAGCCTTAATACAGCCATAAATACGAAAAATAATAATAATAAATTAATCTAAATTTTTAAAGATGTATATCCTTTCAAACATTACAAAAAATAATTTATAAATCAAGCTTTTACAAAGTTGATTTTGTGATTTACATAGTTATGTTCACTGCAATATTAAGTTCTAATTTGTAATACACAGAAAACTAAATTATAAAACATTATGAAAGTAATACATTACACGGAACTTAAAAAAACAACAACCTTCTTTCAGAAATTGTTTATTAAAACCCAATCAAAAACTTAACCTACTTGAGACCAAAGTTAGTTCACATCACAAACTCCTATCTAAAAAAACTACAATTAGCATATTTTGTGATGCATTAAGCGTCAAAGGTCACTAAATTTATCTTCAGCTTCTAATACGAACGAGCCACTCCATGTAATCACCAATTGTTTTTTTTTTATGTATACCTGTAGTTTTGCTGTATTTTTAGGAACTGTACCTAAGAACTAGTAACCTAGGTTCATAATACATGCATGCATATAATAGGAGTGTGTGTGTGTATGTGTGTATTAACATGTGCTCCTTACTACAAACAAACTATACCACCTAAAGCTAATTTAGGCAACCAGATTACTGGCACTGGTTATTCTACTAACACTGGTAGTTGCTGTTATTCTATGACTAAAGTAAATGATTAGTTTATAAATTAATCAGGGGAGTAAATTAAAACATTACGTCTTAATTTTAAAAAAATTCAAGCACATTAAGAGAAAAAATACTTTTCTATAATACTCACGTTCGTATAAATAATAATTGTACACAATCTAACAAAACAAAGTTTCTAAAACATTCATTACTAAATGATTTCTTATAGTGTATAGTATGTTTTTAATTGATTTCTAAAATTCTAGTACCATTAATATAAAAGATGAATATGTTTTAAAAGAGCTTAAAATGTCAAACTACTCGAGTATATTTTGTTTTACGTACCTAGTGATTTAATACTAAGATATTTTACATAATGGTAGCACTCAACTGTGCTGAAGAGAATAACCTGATGTATCAATTTTAGTAACTGATTAATTTATATTTCTGTTAACACAATCTCATTCAAAAACCACCACAAATCTTGGCTACAAATCAATATCATTATAAATTTAATTCAAACTTTACTCAAAAGAGTTCACATCTTTCTGAACAAGATTTGAATGTAACACCAAATGAAAGGATAAAAGATTTAAATTAAAATCTCAGTAGAATGTCTTTCAAGTACACAAGTACTACAACTGATTGCAGAACAACATCCTTATTTAAAGACAAACAACATATATACCTCCACACGGAATCATCATGAACAGGTTTTTTGAAAACATGGGGAGGGAGAGAAATTACTTAACCCATGCAAAATCTAAAATAACGATACAAAATATATAAAAATAAATATTAACTCAAACAGAAATAATATTGGGTCCCAAACAGAATAGTTTTAAAAATCCTCAGATGATCAAGCTTTTGTATTTTTTCTTTTTATCAGGTTGCTATGTAACTGTTTACCGAGGTTGCCCAAGAATATAATGCTCATCCACAGACCAGTGAACAAACTCTGCTGCATAGCTTAACTCTTAGCTGGTCAATAATCAGTATTTATTCTCAACATTCTCATAAGTAATCGAAGAAGATAGAAAACACCTGAGAACCTACTAATTAATTTCACATTACCATAATAGTTTTGAATCTTCAACCCTTTCAACTGATCTTCAAGATTTATTGCGTAGAACCTGAATAAGATTACAGCAAGCCTGGTCAAGAGTATGCAAAATCTAAATGTCTAGTTATATATATATAATGGTTTGTTTGTTGTTAAGCACAAAAAAACTACACAATGGGCTATATGTGCCCACCACAGGTATAAAAACTTGGTTTTTAGTATTATAAGCCTTCAGCATTACCGTTGAGCCACTGGGGAGGACTACATATAACAGGACACTCATATTCATGAAATTTCTAGAGTTCAAAATACAAACATAAGTAAAAATTCAATTCACTTTCACTTTGGGTTTATATACTATATTATGTACTATATTCCTGTACCTTTGTGCATACAATTCATGAAGATTTAATTCATCAAATTCAACAGGGAGTACTAATGAAATTGGCATTTTTAAATACGAGTAAAATATTGTGCATATTTTAAAATCTATTCCAGCTATTATCCCTCAGAAGGTAAATTCTGCTAATGAAGTAAGAATACAACTTTCTCACTACAAAATAAAATTTCTGAAATTTCAAATTTAAGTCTGTCAAAATTAAATATGACCATTTATGTATATATTAAAAATGTTCAATTAAAGATGGGTGTTATTCTTTAAAATCAGGAACAACATCACAAAAAAAAATGTATAGGAAGAAAATCTGATTTTAATGGATACAGATAATCTTGGACAAGTAATATGTCTAAACAATAGCAAAAATGTCCTGTTCTAAATGTCGTGTATATGGTAATAATCTCCAATGCTACATAGGCATAGAGAAAACAACAAGATTTCATTCAGTACAGAAAATGATACCTGTAGTAAATATTGTATGCATGGAGATTTAGTTTGTGGAAAGTTCCAACTCCAAGCACCACAGAGAGTTGGGACTTGTTATGAATCCCTTTATGATGCAACATTAGTTATTCATCTACTAAGTGACTGGTACTGGTAGTATCGCTCAGAGAAAAGGTCAATGGATACTGCATTCATATTCCGATCATTTTACAAAACCTAGGCTTCCACTGTCACCAGGGGTATTTACATGTCCAGAACATGTTCTGGGTGTTCTTTTCCAATAGATGAATTGAGTGGACCAGGTCAGGAAATTAGCATTTTCAATAATGATGGAAAATGCATCAGTTCTCTCTGATCTTTTATTCAAAGATGGGTTTGATGATAGTACTGAGCAAAGGGATTGATGAAACAATCCAATGTTTATTTCCAGGGATGATAACTCTTTAGTTTGTAAGCGCATACAGTAATAATTAAACAATCACTGTTGTTGTAGAGAAACGTGGAAAATATTTTGTTTATGAACCATAATCTACATTGTGGCAAAATATTTTTAAGCACATGTTGCAATGGTACACATTCTCTTGCATCTTGATGATGTCAAAATTTTCTTTACATCATCTATCAGTCAGAAGAAGTTTGGAACGCTGTTTTGAGTCACTTCATTGTAGGTTAAAAACGTTTCACATGTTCATGACTACAAATCAAGAGTATCCCAGGACACATCCATGCCTTTTCAAACACAAAACCAGTAGAATCTGCAAGATGCATTTGACCAAGACAGAGATTCTGTTGATAACTGACAAACATGTAAGATGCCTAAATAACAACTATTCTAATTCAATCAACTGCTGAGCAGATTACAGAAAGCTATTTCAAATGAATATCATACAATATACAGACAACACACTGATATTTTTGACCAATCGTTCTGTCAAAATATAACAAGATCAATGTCTTCATCTCCCACCTCACAACCTAATACTGTCAGATATTTTAATAAATACATAAAACTTTCTGCAAATACTTAAGAAAACTTAACACAGAAAGCCTATGTGTGTCAAAACATAGAGTAGGTTCAACCAAATTACTGGTCACCATTTTGGAATCATGACATCGAAAAGTTGTGTAATGTCATTAGTAATATATCATACCTGTTACTACATATGTACATTTTCATCCAAATTTTATAGGGATCATTTTAAATACTAAGTTAGATTCATTCTTTATTTTTATTTGAGAGGCAATAAAAATTCAAAGATAGTGACATGTCATATATATGTATATAAACAGCCAAAGTATCCTTTATCCTCAAACACTTTTTCCTGAAACCAAATAACAAGACAATAGATAAGTAGCTTACAAATAAACTAGTTATACAAATTATTTATACCAAATTAAATATTCTAGAGGGTTTGTTTTCCTGTTTTTTTTTTGTACAAATAGATCTGTCAATAATCGCTCATATTTTAATAACAGGTTAAATATACACAAAAAATAATTAAATGTACTTGGGAAATTAAATAGCATTATGTAGCTTTAATTTATATTACCTTATCTATTGTTACAGATCTAAAAAATATTTAAGTTTATCCATGCATAACTATTTTCAGTACTCGAGTCCCCAACCACAAAAAAAAAGTACTGCTGGAAAGAACTATGTCATTTTAACAACAGTTAAAACATACTAAAATAACATACTTCAACCAACATGTTTCAGCCCATAAAAGCTAAAGTGAAAATTGAAAATTAAAACAATAAATTAACAACATGGAAAAAAAAAAGTTTAAAACTAATGACATTGAAAAGATATGAATTATGTTTGGAAAACATCTTATCCACTGTTACTATGGCAAAACTAATTAGCTCACCATACTGTAGAGTAGGTGTGTGATACAAGAGCATAAATAATAATAACCCACTGCACTTAGGGTGCAACAGCACAAAACAAAAAAGTATATACAGTACAGATTAGTATTGATGTATACGAGTTTGTCCAATAGAACAGAACTGCTTATTTATTTTTTGTTCCTTTCACATCTGGTAGTTATCATCTCTAAACAGAAATTTAAATTAAATTACATCTATGGAAGATATTGCACACATGTAATAAATATACAAAAACACCTTGAATTTACTTCTATTTCATACTTAAGCAGCATGACTTTGCTGCCACAACATCCCAGAATGAGGCAATGCTGCAACAACGATATTCTTTGATACATTTTCACGTGTGTATAGTCCACTTTGAACGTGGTTTGCTCTAACAATTATTTTTCTATTAATTAACCACTGTCACATACACAGAGTCATTCTTCCAGTATGATCATTTCAATTTTATACTCACATACATTTTGGATGAGAATGGTACAGGGTGAATTATCTTAAAACATGCAGAGGTATAATTTATACATTGTTCTAATCTCAGAAAAGTGCTTCTCATGTGGAAATTATCATATTTTGCTCTTAAATGTCTCTGTTTATGTCTGTGGCTCAAACATTACACAACATACAGTTTTTCACCAAACTATATAAAAAACATCTTTACGAATAAACAGGTTTCCTTATTCTCAAGATAGCTCTTTATAAAATATTGTCTTTAGTTTACTAAATAATTAAAGTCTTGCATGTAAGTTGTTTCATAACTTAAGTATAAAAAATTAAAATAGCATAAATGAAATTGTCACAGTTTTAGAGATAACAGTGGCTAAATTTATCTAGTATTTTACTGTCCAGCATTACACAAGGACGAATCATGAGAACGACCAGATCGAAGATTACACAGCATGTTTTTCTTGCAGTCTCCCGTGCAAGGTTCACTGTGGTAATCACTCATCTTTCTGTAATACCTACAAATGAGAAAGAAAAAATGCTGAAAGCACAAAAATAATTATCATTTACCAGTAATTGAATGATTAGAAAGAACTTACATCCACCAAAATGAATTCTGACTGCAAAAGAAAGTGAGATCTTAAACAGATAAAACTGTACTAAAGCAAACAGTAAAAAGCACCATAGAACTAGCTTTTCCATTTATGTATGTTTAAGTTCATACAAACAGTTATGAGCTTAATTCAAAACAATAAGCAAATAATTAACTAGTTTCACAGGGAAGGAAAATTAATATAGTACTTTTATAATACACACTTAAGCTATTTTATAAATGAATATCACTGCATATGAGTAGAAACTAAGTATCCATACTACATGCACGTTTATTTCCCTATCACTAGAAGATTACCTTCTGGCACACTTTAAAACCAGAACTTTCACTTTACTCGCTATGTTTTGTGACGTTATTATAATAAATAATCACTAAATGCATCGCATACTGTAGGAATGTTCAAGAAAGAAACAGTATATAAGTACATTTTCATTACTGGAAACAATGATAAAGAGTTTATTACTGAGCAGAAAACAAATTCGACCTGTCCATGAAGGAAAGTTTAAAAGTATTAAACATTAGAGAGCACAAAAAAAAATCTAATATTGTTATCATTTACAAAAAGAAATAAACTTTGGTTTTTATAGGACAATAATAAAATGAAACAGAGGAACACAAATAGCTTTAGGATGAGGCAGAAATTAAGTTTTAACTAAAATTTGGTTTATATTTACTAAAATAAGTGTCTATCATTAACCTAACGAATGAGAAATTTTTTAATTACCTAAAACATTAAACACTGAGCTACCACTAGCAAATTAACAGTTATTTCCAACCTTTTCTTTGTATATATATATATTTTCATCAATTAATTTATTCCTTTTTAAATGTCAGAAAGAGAGAAGCCAAAAAAAGAAGGCTAACTATAATCAAATGTTTTTTCCTCAATGGTAATAAATACTTTTATGCCAAGGAAAAGACACAGGATCATAATGTAATGCAAAGATACAACCTTTTGGAAGTATTGTGGAACACAAACCAAAACAAAGTACTTGCAATTTATTTTGTTAAACATTTACATGTTTTAATACTCAGTGAGCAGGTCTTGAGGAGTAATTTGTTTAAATAGTGTGTCATTAACACCATGTTCATGTCTCAGATGAAACATTTTGTCATAGCTATGAATCTATATAGCACTAGAGAAACTTGATCATCAAAATCTTATTACAATCTGAGAAGTTTAGTCTTAAACACACACATGAGACAATCTTGTTAGCTACTAAGAGTAATGGTAAAGAACTATGTTGTGAAGACATTCACATGCTATAGGTTAGGTTATGTCCTGGTGAGAAACAAAAAAGGTTGCCATAGTATATATGGCAATCTGGTGAAAATAGTGACAATCACAAATAATAGTATCCCACTAGATGATAAGATACAGTTTTAATGTGGTAAAAACCATAGCTCATGGGGTTAACCTGTTACACAGTGGTAACCATAAAATGTCAGTGACTTCCACTTGTATAACCACAAACAAAGTTTTATATCTTTATGTACTAAATATTGTTATTATTATAGAAGTATGCTAGCACTGAACTTACCCGTAAAACTGTTGAAACAGAGCATCATTCGACTCAAAACGTTGAATGAGAGCATTCCAGTCATGAGGTAGAAGAGACTTCATTTCCAGCTGTTCTTTGGCTGAATACATTTTTCTCCATGTAGGTTGGTTAAACAGATTTGCTTCAGTAATGTTTAAGAAATATGTCTCATGGTCTAGTACAACCTAAAACGACACATTATTTTTTGTTACATTATTTTAAAAATCACACACACACACATGCACTTATTTATATACAGGAAAAAATAGATAATAAAAATCTGTTTACTACTTTTATCCCATAGTAACAGCTCAACTAATTGGTATAACTAATTTTCATACTTTATTGCTCTTTATCTTTATAATTCAGTCTTCATATCTTTGTACTCGCCTAGCAACTAAATATGTATTTACAGACCGTATTACCTGCATGCACTGAATAAGAATAAAGTCCTACATACCCTGGAGCTACCGGCATAGTTTCCATCCACTGTGTAAATTCTAAAAGCAGGGTTTCCACTACCAAATGTAGTTACACTGGGTCCAATGTAGGCAATGTTTGTGGGACGTTTGAGAGTCTCTGTGTCATAAAATACTTCAAATTCATCACTGTGGGTATGACCATAGAACTGAGCCACAACAGTGCTTTCAAACCTGGAAATAATGATAATTCATTCCTAGAATTTTGAAAAATATTAAATGGTCAAAATGTATTATTTTATAGTAAAAATTTTATCTATCTATATATTTATGTCACTAAATATTTAATATCAAACAAAACTGAACCTTTTCTGTCAGTTCCATGGATGGGTACACAACTGCCAATTCTCAATTTCAAATGCTTAGACACACATTTGTTAAAATATAGTTACAAGAAACCAAAAAAATGTTGTTAGATTTCAGACAACTAACTTTCAATGAAATGCCTTATTATGTCTTATGTTTCTATTGGAATGGGTACACAGTCGTATTCATGCAGATTCAAGAAGAAAATAACAGGTTTCAGACAAATGGGCAACAGATATACAAGGACAAAGTCGTGCAAATTCAAGAAGTAAATATCAGGTTTCAGACAAATGGGGTACAGATATATGAGGATTTATTCAGGCAGATTCCAGGAGTAAAAAGCAGATTTCACCAATCACATATCAACATCTCACCTATTAATAATACGATAGTAGTTATCACTCCACACTTGAAGGCAGCTTCCTGTACCAGGTGGGATATGACCAATGATGTGGACCTTATCATGTGAAAATACTTATTTTAATTATTTCAGAATTTAAAAATTTTAAGCATCTGAAAAAAATAACCCTTCTGACTATGATGGTATTAAAATGTAGCATATCACAAGTTTTACAAATCCTTAGCTTAAACCTGGAAAATAAAAAACATACCATAAAAATCAAAATGAAAAAAGTTTACATTGTTGTTTCAATGTTTTGAAAGCCACTGGTAACATAAAATACTTTATTAATAGAAATAAGTGTTACATGACCATAATTTCCTGATATTTTACTTGAAAACCCAATACTCTGCCTTCATGAGCTCATTTTATTACACACAGCCGATTCTGATAAGCTATAAAATGCCTTGATATTCATGAGGCAAAGTAGAAGTAAGGAATACACATTATTACAAATGCCATTAGTTTTCTACCAGTAGAATGTTATTATAATGGAGCTTGCGACGTAGACGTCCAAAACTCAGATCTCAGAAACTACTGCACCGATCATCACCAATCATAACTGGGTAATATTTTTATAGCAGAGCAATAAATAAAACAATTAAAATTTTCACAAAAATGATATGTTTCAGATTTAACCAATAAATATTACAAAAAAAGGAGCAAATCTCAAATATAAAACAATCAAAAGACAAACTTAAAACAAATTATTTGTTTTTCTTTAGTGAAAATCTCATGAGTGTTGCAACAGGAAAGCAAGGTACTTTCATTGATAACTGCGTCTACGAAGAAATACTTCAATAAAATCTACTCTGTGATGTAATGCTGTGATGATAGCTCATTTTTAAACTAAAATTTCAATAAAATCCTTTTTTCTCATGGATGGTGAACATTATTGAATGTCAAGTATTGTTGTAGAACTGTCAGACAATTCCAGAAAAGGTCACAGGCCCAATAGCTTTCCGGAAGAACTAGCAGTCATACCTGCCTGGAGGGCGGGTACTTCTGCTAGTATTACATAATGTTGGAAAACAAATTTTGTTAAAGAAATTAAATCAAAACTCTTGAATAATAATAAGATTCACAATTGGCTTTATTTTAATAATTCTCACTCTTTCAAAATGTGGACATTACTCAAATGTTCCTGAATAAATCTTAACATAGATAGAATGATAACTTTTAAAACCATTTTTAGAAGGGAGAGTTGTTACTAAGCCCATACATTTTTTGCAATTTATTTAATTTTGATTCACTAATATTTTTAGACTGTGTATGTTAGTAACTTATATTCCTGAACACTGATAGCGATTATGACAAAATATTTTATATTCAATCTTCTTGCATTTAGTCCACATTCTTTTATCAAAATACTAGAGAATATTGGTTTGAAACAAACAGAAGGAACATAAAAAGCTTATCAAAACACCTTAAACATTTGAATAATAAAAGTTTGTGATATCAGTTAGTGTATTTTATCAAAAACTATGAACATTAATTCTAAAAATTATAATAAAACATAGTTTGAGAATCAAGAGCTAAATGCTTCTTTAGCAGCTATAAAATTCACCATTGATATTAATCGTATGTTTACAAAGATGCTCAAAATACACACTGAGCATGTATGTTGTGAATGAAGGAAAGTACTTTAAGCTTATTTAAAAACAAATATATAAACAGATCTGGAGAGCTTAAATAGTATTTAACAAATGGCTAACATTACCTTTTCTCCAATCAGCTCTGAGGCCTGTAGTTCTTGGATAAGCCACTGTAGTTCTTCAGCTGGGTCAGTGGAATTTAACAGTAACCACCTAAGAAGTAATAAGTTAAAGTTACCCAAAACAACCACTGTCAATGATCAGTTTTATTATTTTATATCTATGTTGCACTTAAGTTACTAAATGTAGAAATCTTTTATTACATAAAAATCAAAGCTAAAAAGGTCAGATGGCACTCAATTATAGCATTGAATCAAGTCATGCTCCCGAAATATTAATCTCACACACCACAAAGCCTCTTTTAGATTTAAAACACCAAATCATTAGTATATCCAGAACAACAATTTCTAGTGACTAGATTTATTTTTACAATTAATATGTACTCAAAAAACAGCAATGCGTAAGCCTTAGATGTGTGTTTGCATTACATTAAAATTGTTCCCTTCAGATGACTTCAAAGAATATTCATGTGCCAAGTTTGACTATCCTAATTCCTTTGATAATTATTTCAACTTATAATCTTCTTAGATTACAATAACTGAAATTAAACATGCGGGTTATGTACAAATGCTTGTACACATTTTAAAATGTAATGATTTCCATAACTAAATAATTAAAAATGAAGTGGTTGTATAATAATAATAAAAAAACACAACAACAATAACAACAGACAACTTTCTAGAATGTGGAATTACATCTGTTATTCTTGTGAAATAACAATCCCAACAACTCGATCTGAACAATTTAAAAATTTGTATCAAAGAAAGAAACATGCAGATATGGCATAAGACCTCAGGTACATAGACCAACAAGTTCTTTACTGCATATTTCTGTATGCCTCTCTTCATTCAAAGGTTATGTTGTAAAATGTGTACAATAATTTGTATGCATTGTATATAACTTCTATACTTAAATAGTGTTAGATGTAATGCATACACCAAAATTGATAACCATATTTTAAGTCACAATGTTAAATTTTACAGTTTTAAGTTATAATGTTCGTAAACTTCAAAATTCTTAAGTACACACAGACAGTAATAACGAAACAAGACAGACAGTCCTTCATCATAAGAATTAACAACAACAACAAAAAAAAAGAGCACAAAGTACTTACCAATTCTGGTTATTACAGTAGTTCGTATTAATGGATATTATCTTAAGTCCAGGGTTCACTTTGACTGAGAAATAAGCACCCCTTAAAATAAAAGTAACACAGAGCTATAATAATTACAATTTTTGTAAGACTACTGAAAAACCACAAGCTTAAATTTACTTACACAATTTCATTTACTGAGGCAATTAACTACATAAAAATATTTTGGGATTAAGCCATTTTCAGATAGTTACTAACAGATGCAACATTTATTGAAATTTTAATTTCAGGTTATACACACTTAACTAGAAGTGTTTAGCCTGTTAACATTCTTTTACAATATAATAATTACATTCTTCCATGTATTTGTTGTTTACGTCTGAACACTATATCAGTTAAGTAATACTGTGTTACAAACATATGACCTCAACAATTTTCTTGTTTTAATGTTAAGACAGAGAGCTTCACAAAACTAAAAAATAATGTATTTCACAAAATCTTTCACTGAACATTTACATGAACATTTCAACCAATGTTGTTATTTTTTACAACTTATTAAAAAAAATACAGACAGCATAATTATAATCGAAAGATTGCCTGAAAATGTACAGCATAGTTGTCACACGAATAAATTGGAAAGGCTTACTTTTTAATTGTAGTTTCTGCACCTCTTGGTACCCATGGAGCCCAAGCTTTTGCTATTTCATCATACAACCAGGATATGTCATATTTCCCAGTTATTTGGGGCATTGGGAAGCTGGTAAGAGAATAAAAGAACTAAAATTATGAAAGTCTAATATTAACCCTAATACTTATTATGTAAAATTTGTTATTCAACTTTACTTTCACTACTTTGTCTATGTATAATATTGAAGAAAAGACAACAATCCAATTCCTTATTGATGAAAAGTTACTCATAATAATTTTACATACCAAAAATGTGTACGAACATATAAATATATTTCAAATTAGCTGGAGCACCTGTCCCCTGAAAGGAAGTTATTTAAGTTCATGATTAATGAAAGGTTATCTTAGGGCATGAAAAATTGCTTCCCTTTTATGTAATTGTAAAAAATGCAAAAACACCCATACAAACTACAAAACACAAAATGTGAAATTGTAAGATTGCATGTATCTGCATGGACCCAACAAACCTTCATGCCATCAACAGGCGGGCAAAGTAGTGGTAAAAAATGCAAAAATGCCCATAAAAAGCACAAAACTGAAAATTTACGTGTACCTCTCCAAGGACCCAACAAACCATCATGCAAAATTTGGTAAAGATCCATTGACAAGGGGCAAAGTAGTGATAAAAATGCAAAAACTTCCAAATCACAAAACTGAATGCATCTTTCCATGGACACAATAAACCTCCAAACCAAATTTGGTGAAGATCCATCCACACCCTGTGAAGTAGTTACATGGCCATACAACAGAGAGTACTATTATATTTATATAAATATACTATCCATGTTACAAAATTCTTGTAAACAACATTGGTCATAACTTAGTGGATTGTAATTGTAATTCCAGTCATTTTTTAATATTGCAAGTGTGTGTAATGGACTAAGAAACTGAATGAACACAAAAAAAAAAGTCTGTTCATAAAAAAAACTTATGTCACAGACTTAGAAAATACTCAATAACATAATGGTTGTGTTACAGGGTTTTAATAGCTAAACACAGAATTTTAATGCACTTAACAAAAACCTTTAATTTATTTGTAAATCTCTGAAAATATGTTTAATTTCAATATTAATTCTTGCAATAAATCCAAACTCTTGCAAGAAAATGGAGTGAAATATATTTAAGGTGGGAAACATTTACCTATTAACTGGGGAACTTTCATGGTTCCCAATGGCAGAGAAAATAGGAACATTCTTCAAGTACTTATTCATTAATTGAGTAACAGATTTTAGGAGAAATATCTGCTCTGATTGAGAAGTGTTCCAAACATCATGAGGTGGAATGTCTCCTGTCCACAACACGTAATCAACCTGAAAGATAATTAACATGAAGAATATAAATAAATAAAAAAAATCCAGCATGATAAATCCTGAAAGTATTCAAAAAAACAAAGTTAAAAGTAGTGTAAAGGAAAAAGAAATGTATGGTCATTGCTTCAGCTAGTTAATCTTTACTAGGATAAAAAAGCCAACTGGCTAAAGTGCTGAGCACATTTTTCTTTGTCTTCCAGTAATTCTAACTATTTATTTGTATTTTCACACATAGTTGAAAACCATTTCATGTTATATAAACAACAAATGTCACAAATCAATCAAGGAAAAGTGACTTTACTTTCAGGATATCAGTGGAAACTTCATTTTTGTATCATTGAAGTTTCAAAATCACAAATTAGTAAATACAAAAAAGAATAACTTTCAACTCTTTTGACAACAAAAATAATATCTATAATACTAAATCTCAGTCACAAAAGAAAAACCAAAGGCCACAAGTTAACACTGGCATCAACTTGCCCAAACTTGTTTACCAATGCCTGGCCTGATTTCTTGTACTCTCAATTGTTCTAAACACCATGTGATGTTTCTCATGGCTTCTAATGTTGTTCTGAAGAAATGGAACTAGATTAACATTTGTAAACAATATAAAACAATTTTTTTTTTTGGTTTTGCTTTTTCTGCTTTTTAAGCTTAATCTGGCAACTTGTATATTGTGTATTTGTTTTCCAAAAATTATATTATCATTTATATACATGGGCATGTGATGATCTTATTTATAGTGTTTCATTTTTTGTACATGTAATGTAAGCCAGCCTATGTAAGTGCCTTAAAATGTTTCTAAACCATTGCCTACTAGTAGCCTTGACAAATTCAACTCTATCAGTAAATCCCAAGATTTAACATCAGAAACAAAATTACATAAACCTAACACATTTAAAAAATACTATTAAGTGTCACTTTCTCATAACTTCAATGATTTTGTTACCAATCTCCTGGTTTAGTAAAGGTCTCATTCATGGCACTAAGGAAATAAAAATTCAAATGGCTGCCAAACTCCAACCATACAGCCATATGATTATCCATTTAAACTTGATTGCTGGAAGGGTCCACCAGAGTTCTTTTACCCAATTTCACTGAAATTGTTGCAGCCAGTTCCTCACAATAGCTTTCAACGTCAAGACACCAAAAAGACATACAGATGGAATTGGTATTTTTATGCAAATGTAGGTAATAATTGTTTTTCAGAACTTGTCGTATCTTCTGTTTTGTTTATATTTAAATTGTTTGTTTGTTTGTTATGGATTTTATGCAAAGTTACACAAGGGCCATCTGCACTAGCTGTCCCTAATTTAGTAGTGTAAGACTAGAAGGAAGGCAGCTAGTCATCACCACCAACCGCCAACTCTTGGACTACTCTTTTACCAATGAATAGTGGGATTGACTGTCACATTATAATGCCCCAATAGCTGAGAGGGCGAGCATGTTTGGTGTGACAGGGATTCGAATCCATGACCTGCAGATTGCGAGTCGAGCTCCCTAACCACCTGGCCATGCTGGGCCATTATATTTAAATAGTACATACTGAAGATGATTGATTTTTCCTATTTTTAAATATATAAATATATGTATTTGTTTACAACTAATCCTTATTCTATATGTCACATACTTCTTCCTTCACCCACAGTACCTAAATTGTGCAGTTCATTAAATCCAAAGTTTACAAAATCGACTTTTTTTTTGGACTGTGTAAAAAAAATTTCATCCACCTACAGTCATTTTCTAAGATGTTCAATACTTGATATTAAAATACCTCACACAGGTAGAGTTTATAGAATTATCCATAATGACTTATTTCCTCCCAACAACAACAAAATTCACAGATTTTGGACCTTAGTGTTTAAAGAACATTTGGGCATAAATTAATCACAGTACCTTGTGATTGTCTCTAATATGTTTCAGCATATGTTCTAAAGTTCGTAAGGGTGTGTCACAACTACGGTAATCTCCCCACTTTCCTGCTGCTTTACTTGGATCAAGCGCAGGTCCATCAGTAATTCGGCAACACAATGGTTCTCCACACTCTGCATTGTTGCCTTCCTTATAGTATGGATCAAAGTGTGTGTCTGATAAATGGAGTACTCGTGTTGTTGGTGCACCAGTCTGAAATTAAAATTCAACATTCCCATCTATTATAAAATTAATAACAGTTACTTTATTTAATGTTCTTCCCTAATACAGCATAAATGTATTTTTGTGAAGTTATAGCATCAATATTGTATTAGCCAATATGTCATCTCTTTTAGTACAAATTATAATAGCATAAACATACACAAAACTTAACAATACTAATAAATTCTTTTTTTCAGAAATTTTATCCTCAGATAAAATTCAGATCACATTCACTGAACCTTTTGTTTTAACCAACTCTTATACCAGTTAATTTCCAAAAATATAATTTCTTCTGTTAGAACATTTAAGACATGTGATAAATCTACACCTGATTCAAGCACAAAAAATAAAACTGGTTTATCCATAACAAGTAAAAAAAAAACCTGAAAATCACTTAACCAAAAATGATAAAATTTTTCTACAAAACAGAACATTACAATAAAATTACGAAAATACACAAAAGATGAAAATAAAAAATATGTGGTTTTCAGTTTATAAAAGTTTCTTCATAGTTTAGTACATTGATTCTGTTATCTGTTTTAGTTTTAGCTAAACCAGTTCTATGAATTTCTTCTTAGTTGTTTTACTTGGTAATTTACATTTCACTTTATCCTTACGAGCATAAGTACATTATCCTGGTTTCCATTAAGAGTAAGGTGATGAAAGTTTTAAATTTATTTCTGACTGAAATAAATAAAATATTAACTTGTACCTGACAACAAAAAACATTTTATAAGCATCTGAGTTTATATCAATTAATTTACATCACTAATTTATAATATTTCAATACATAACTATACAAGTAATTCAGAAAGAGATCAGAAATGTACATTTTTGTACCATAATCTGCTTTTCATAAAAAACATCAATTCCAAAATTATTTACATGTGACTATCCTATTTCTAAGGTTATGAGAAAAAAAATAATATATATATAGATATATATTAGAAGTCTGTACACAAGTACATACTTTTGGTGGTGGAACTGGCTTAACAGGAGGTTTAGGAAAAGGAGTCAATGGAACAGTCCAGTTATGGTATGGATTGTAAACAGGAGAACATGTATCACCTAGAATTAGTCCACACACTTCTTGAGGGCTGAGCACTAGTCGCTCAAACACGTAGAGAACTTCCCCCTTTAAATAAAAAAAGAAGTATGTATATATTTATATATATATATATATAACACACACACATATAGAGAGAGATAGAGATAGATAGACAAATATATCTGAAATCAAACAACTTAAAAAAATAACTGATAAACAGAAATTTCAGAATTTAGTGAATCTGAGTAATGTTAAAGTTAGTTTAACTGAAATGGAATACTCGTGTTATTGGTGCACTAGTCTGTAATTAAAATTGAACATTCCCATATACTATACAATTAATGACAGTTAATTTATTTAATGTTTATATACATTTAGGAAAACACAGAAGTTTGTACAAATGCAAATTATGCAGTAACTAGAAATATATACACTTTTACAAAAAAGTAAACAATTTACATTACAATTAAGCATTCATTGCAGAATTAAAATCTAGCTAGCTCTAAGATAAAGTGAAAGAAACAATATTAAAATGAGTCTACATAACTTATTTATAGATTAATAGATATTCCTTTAAATACTGTATACACTGTAGTAATCTCCATTTACTGTTTTCACTTAAACTATGACAAACACTAGAAGAGATGGAGAGAATTAAAATCCATATCACCTGACAATGCCTGAAAAATCCCAATAAAGACATTATAATTATAACACTAATTTTTTATGTTCATCTCGTGTGCCTTAACATCCATATTTCTTATTAGATAAATTCATTTTTATCCCCTTTAGTTGTTACAGTATCAAAGAGGAACAGTATTTGTCAAAACATAGATGTAACTTTTGAAACTTAGTAGTAATGCATTTCTTTTACATGTACAGTTTTACTTAACTTAAAAGTCACTTTTCATGAGAGCAACTCAAGCATTAGAGAATATAAACAAGACTTTCAACTTTTAAACCATAAGCATATAGAATATATATTAACTAGAAAACAACGGAAACAGTACACCAAGTACTCAGTTTTCAATTTAGCAGTGTTTTTGATGGATTACTAGAGATCACAGGAAAGAAGGCAAAATAATGACGTGAAATAAGTTAGCCATAAACATATTACAACTTACTGTTGCATGCTGTTTAATATTACATTTAAAACTGCTTCAATTAATAACAAAACACAATTTGCTTGTACTATTTACTTCATACTTTTATCTAATGTGATATATCTCTGAAGTTTTGTGACTAAAACTTTTATAAATATAAAAAACATTTTGTCATACAATTATCCTCTTTAACTCTCTCCACGTGGGTGCAGTCAATTTGACCAACCACATACCTTCTTGTACTCGTATAGTCTTTATAGATTTGATGCTATTAACTTTTGATATAGTGTGTATATCTACAAATTATTTGGCAATCTTTCAGTAAATATTATAAGTCATTCACATACAAAAAATCATATTATTTAGTGAAGTACTTTTAATAAACTAAAAAAAAGATTTGTCCTTGAATATATTGAGTATTTGTTTTGAATAGTCCATGAATTGATTTTCATGTTAAGATTAGAAATACTTTTCTTCATCTCAAAAAACCTCAAATTTCATTTTTGTAGTCTCTAAAACCTCCTAAATACATTTCAAATGTGGTTTCAGTAAAACTTTATGTTTTATCTGTTATTTTTTCTACCCTATCTAAAAATTTGAATCAATCAATTCGACCAACCTTGTAATCAAAATAAACCTAAATTACCTTCCTTCCTTTTCTTTCTAGAATGACTTCAAATGTAGCAGGAAACTGCTTCGTTTATCCTAAGTAGCTTTAAATTCGTAACAGTATACATCTATTTATAATTAAATTTTATTGTTTTATTGCCCTTTTGATTACCCTTTGAACTGTGTCTAACTACTATTCGTACCATTATAAGTTGTAAATCACTTGGGAAATGTGCAGCTCACGTTACGCTATCGAATTACATTACCCATGAGCTACTTTGAGCTGCTCGCATGTGTGCTCCTGAAATATTTTTATTATATTATCATCAATGTTTATTTTACCTTAACTAACTTAAAGAAATCTTTATCTTTACAGTTGAGTTACTTTTATAATAATAAATAAAGAATAAACATAAAAAACAAGAAATAAAGCAGTTACCCAAATATACTTTTATTTTGCTCTAAACTATTGATGAAACTTAACCCTACTTTTTTTTTAACTAATGGTAATAGTGCATTAAATAATTTTTATTTAATTAAATAATACACCAAAGAACATACTAATAACATGCAAAAAGCACAATCTCCTCTAACAATCAAAATTTTTCTGGCTTTCTAACCATGCGAAAAAGAGCCGTTACAAAGGCATCCAAGCTAGCCCTTGGGAACCAAAGTTGAATTAGATGTGAAATTGACTATTCTGTGTTCAGAACACAACATTATACAATATGTCATTTCATAGATGAAAACCTTAACTTTCTATTGGTTATAGGTAATACATCGTAACACATAAGAAAGAACTATTAACAGATCCTGAAAGAGAGCATGTGACAGGTGGGTGTGGCAGGAGGGGGGGTCTGATTTTCTATTTGACAGCTCTGTAACCAAACAAAAGTGAAGGCTATAAAAATTATGGTTTGTCTGAGCAATGATGAATTTATAGTGAGTATTTTCTTTTTAATTTCTTAGTTTCTTGGGGGTTGGTGGATCAAATATAGATTAGAAGATACCTAGATAAGATGTGTCATGTGTCACATGTGGAAATTCAGGAAATTTTTTAAATATTGTCTTATAAAACTAAGAACTTAAATCTTATATACTATCAAAATATGGATTATTAGCTAAGATTTTATGCTATACTAATTGATATAACAAAAAGTAATTTAATAACATTTTGAATGTAATACACTAAAACCTTGTGTCATGCACAGTAAAGAATACCCGGGAGTGAAAGGATTAATATAATTTTCTATAGTTCTAGAAAAAAAAAAGAAACTGTGTATTGTACAACAAAAGGTAAAGCCTAAAAGTTTACATGAAGACATTACTTGAAACACCCGGGTAACTCCTTGGCAGACTCGAGCTGATTCAATTTTGAAGAAATTACATATAATTTTCACAAGAGATGCTACATCCTCCTCATTCTTTTCTTTCTCTACTATATGTTGAACTAGAGATACTCCAAATTTACATGCAAAACATGTAACAGGTGAGTGTTTCCCAGCTTTTAACCCAGCTATTATCTAAAGAACATGAAAAAAATTGTATATTAATTTTTACAAGTATTAGCACAGATTTCTTTCCTAGCCTTCAAATAACATTTTCATTACAAAAAAATTAATAACATATACTTTTTAGCTTATAAAATGTATAATACATGACAGATTATTAAACATATTTTGTATGGAGGTATACAAACCCACATGCTAGTTTCCTCAATGATAACTGAAAACACAGACTTTGAACTGTTCAAGAGCAAAACTATCAATAACACCATTTTCAATAAGTCATTATGTTACAGTCTATATAGCTGGGGAAACAAAGTTAAATAAACACTTAAGCAACACTATTATTGTTCACTTCTAAGTTTTATTTCTGTTACAGTATTTAACATTTGTTGAGCTTTCATTTCTGAAAACATTGCACATAATATGCCATTTACTACCAGTGTCACTAAAACATTGTGATTTGTATATTCACATAAAAAAATTATCCATCAGAAATTTGTTCTTAAAATGTCATTTGTATTTTCCAGAGTTGATTCTTAATATAATAAATGCCATTTACTGTTTTACATTCCACATTACTGGTGTAAAATTTATTAAAATACCAAATTAAACAAGTACAACTTGGATGGTTCCCAATATACTTATTTAGATTAACTCCTATGTTTTCTTTGTTTCCATGAAAAACAATGGTTGGCTAATTGCCAGTCTTTTGACACATTATTTTATCAGGTGTGGAGATGATAATTTAACTATTTTCTAAACCCAAATCATGTTCCTCCATTTTTTGAATATTTAAATGTTAAACAAAAAAGTACTAATTTCTTGTTGAATACCAGCAAGAACCATAAAGTTTCATTGTTAGTTATATTAGTGTATAATTGTGATGATAACTTTAAATGTGAAGTAACCCCAAGAAAATAATCTACAACAACAAAACTACTGACCTGAGTGGAAGAACACCAATTTAAAATACCAAATACATCAAGTGTATTGGAGCATACCCTAAGTGAGTGTGATGTAGACATTCATTCAAATTATTTTAAGACCCTAGCAAGGACAAATGATGAACACAGCCTCTGTATAAAACAGTACCTAATCATTCATAAACTGAGACCAGAAATAAACATAGTTAGTTTAGCTTATAAACTGTTACTTACCAGAAATATTTTTTTTCATTATTATTGGTCAAGACATACATTGAATGTCTTTTTTAAAACTTGTATTTGATTGTTCTTATTTTTTTCAAGAGGTTTCTGCTCTCTATTGCTCACAGAAGAACTATACGTAAAGGCTTTAATACATTTCTTGTGCTAGAATCTGGGAAAATTTGCAGGATACATAGTTGCAAGCCAATTTTAAATATTATTATTATTATTGACACTAAACTAAATTGTAGTCAAAAATATGTATCACATGAATGACTCTCACTAGTAAAATACAATGAAAACAGTTATATTATTTTCTAACCTCTTAATTTAATTATTTAATTATTTTCTAACCTCTTTCACATCAAAATGACTTGAAATACGAGTCCAGAGGTCTAATAAAACATTGGCTTTCTTTTTTGCATGCCACTTTTGAACTTCATCAGTTGCTGACAGTACACTATTTAAATGAAGATTATCAGTTGAAGAGGAGACATCATTATTTGGCTGGACTTTATTTCCTTCTTGCACCTCAGTAGAAAGACTCAAATCAGCATACACATTGAGAGGAACTGATACATGAGCTCCAGATACTACAGTACAAAGTAGCAGAAGACATAAACTTATGATAGCCCAGTGGTTTCTTTTTATGTAAGTAGTCATTGTGAGGTTCTCAGGTCTGTCTGCAAGTGTCACACCGAAGTTAAGAAATCAAATATACCTGAAAGTAGAAGCCAAAACAAAACAACCTTTATATGTATGTTCAACTTAACAAATGACGAGTTTACATGGAAATATATAACTTTTATATGCGAGATTTTATGCTAATACTTCATTTATAAAATTACATAAAAACAATAATCAGCCTATTTTTTTATGCCTCAACTTCTTTTAACCTATATAAAATGTCAAACATCTCCACACTTTTTCAAATTATATCTTGCAGTACAATAAAAAAAAATAGTTAACACTGTCACATGTACACATATACACACATAAGATGATTTAAGCGTACAGGTTCTAACAAGTCTTTTACTTCATTACACTGAATGTAAACAGCCTATGTTCTCTTACTACATCAAATTCTAATCTAGAAATGTATTACACATTGTTACAGTGCTAAATGGCAAAAGCCCATTGGAATTAATAAGCCTAACACTCATGATAAAAATTATAGTATACAGAAGATTTTTTTTTATGTTTTTCTTAATCATTCCCTTACAGATTTCAGACTAAAGGTATATAAAAATAACATTTCAGATCTATTTCTTGCCTGTTATAAGATCTTTTGAACTAAAGTGGATCATGGTGGCAGCTGAGAGTCTATCTGAAACATTAGTTATTTACTGATAGAAAAAATATTTTATATTATAGCATTAAATACCAAACAAAAGTACCTATATTTTGTATATCATAATGCTTCAATTTACATTTAAATTAAAGGGTTTTAGACAATAGACATACTTGGACTTAATTAGTGCTTCTTTATATAAAGGATAAATTACAACTTTTGGGAGTAAATACAAATAAATGTCAGTCAAGAGGTTGAATCTATATGGGTTACTATGAGGGGTTTCAAGAGTAGAAAGTTTTTAAGTGACAACTTTTATAGGTCACTTGGCCAGGCAGAAAGGGTGAACGAGAAATTGTGTAGTGAGGTCATGGATACTACTACTAATAACACTGCATGTAGTGAAATAAGATATCGTAAATGAAATCCAACATAGATTCATCAAAAGAAAATGTTGCTTTACTGATGTGTTATTTGTTTTTCAAAGACGGATGTTACGTGTTATCTCGATGAAGGAAAGAATGTGGATTTTGTATACTTAGGTTTTCAAGAAAGTTTTGATAAGGTTCTAAACAAAACATTAGCTACGAAAATCACACAGGTATGAGTTGTAGAAACACTAGTTAATTGGACTGTAGGGTGGTTGGACGGGAAAAAGAAAAAGGTTCCCACTAATGAAGTCCAGTCAAACTGGACCCATATTACTAGTGGATTAATCTCAGGGGTCAGTGCTTTACTCTTTCTTACTTACATAAATGATACTGACAGGGACATAATTAGTAAATTACTAAAGTTTACTAACAGCATTTAACTCTAGTACATATATCTCTATTTAGAATGTTACGGTATTACAGAACAACATGGATTAATTGGTAAGTTGGACAAATATTTAATAAATGGCCATTAAAAAAATCCATAAAAAACTTCAGAAACTATCTTGAAATGCTATATTTATGCACCTTAATATATTTGATTTATTGGAAAGGTTATAATTTTTGTCACTTGTACATATTACTATATTTCTAGTTCTGATCTACATAGGTAACTTGCTTTAATCAGAAATTATTGGTAACAGGTGACACAGATAAAAGCTACGTGTTTTCTATAATAAACTGTATGGTACAAAGCTCTCTTATTGCTAGCAGTAAAAATTTACTAAAATGAATACAAATCAATCATCAATATTACATAGCACTATCTGACAGTTTTGCAAGTCACATTTATCACTGAAACAACCAAAATTCAAAGGATCCCAGAACTATAAATGTAAGAATTAATAAAAGGTTTCAAATGTTAGTTAAAGCTGACTATATGAAGTTGTAATGTGAATTGCAATAATAACAATAATTTCAAATAACTAGTGTTTCTGTTAAGGCACTTGTCATTAAGTAAAACTTTTACCAATATTAAAACAAATTGTCTCAAGAACACAATTTTGCTTAAAACTAAGTTACACATATTTAATTTTATCTTGAAATCTTCTTTACTAACATCTTGCACACACTAATTTTGTTTAAATGTCACTCTGCTATTGACATTCTTAATTTCAAGTCAAAATATATTTTAAGAATAGGCAATTCTAAAAACCATTTATCATTTACACTGACATAAACCACTTTTCCATTTTTCTGGTAATATTTCTGCATCTGAAGAATTTTAACCTATCATAGATTCTGATAAGAAAAGCTTACTTGTAAGAGTAGTGACAAACAACAGGAGCTAAAGTTTAAGAGATCAATGTTCAGACAGTGAGGCGGTTATGCTGGAAAGAAATTTAACACATTAACTTTATGATAAACATTCCTTTGTGGTTAAAGAACCAGACATAATCAGTGTAAAACATCCCTTAATCCACAATCACCCAAGAGTCTAAGAAAAACTATGCAATTTTTTCATAGAGTTGTAGTAGTTATTTGATATTAGTTAAAAATAATAAAGTTAACTGCTCTAGTTAATTATACTCAACAAATACATGTAAATCAATAGATCTTTATCAAAGAAAGTTGCATATTTTTTCACATATTAAAACAGATGCAAGCTCTTTTACATTTATAATTACCAGGAATGAGACAGAGCATTAGTAAATGTCAATGTGCTTAAATAAAGACTATTTATGCTTGCTTGTAAGTTGTCAATTAAAGTACATTCAAAAATTTAACCTACAACTGTATACTTTATAATTAACCTAACACACCACTCTGATTCCAAGAGAAAAGGCCTTCATTAGCTTTGCATGATCTATATAAATATGCTCTGAACTTACCATTCTCACTAGCACTACTAGTGTTTATCTCATAGACCCACCCCATTTAAATATATCGCAATGTGTACATGTACACTGTTATGAATGAGCTCATGCATTTGCATAACCTTGGATATTTTAAAGAATGATTCAAAAGTCCATTATGTGAAAACCTAAAACCACACTGTAACTTTTTTAACTTCAATTCTTATCTTCTTATTGTTTTCAATTACAGATTAGATCTAATACTAATCTAATTTCTGTATATAAGCATATATATATATATACTGTAAGTAGTGTATACAGTACACATAAAGTTCTCCTTTGACCACCAATGGAATATTACCACGTTTTTCTTTATCTTTAGGAGTGAGGTCACTCATGACACACCACATCACCCCACCATGTTGAATGAATAGAGTACATGTACCAGGAGAAGAATGATAACTTGTTTTGATCCTTAGAATTAAGTGTACACAAACCAAAGTCCATATAACATCTTCAGAAAGTATTTACTTATTCTTTATATAATACATGAATGTATTTAAACACCATATACATATACTATTTTTTCAGAACTAATTAAATGAATTTGTTACAAAAATTTATTTCTGGAAAAATAAATAAATATATTTGCTTTATATAATGAGTAACTAATTACAAAAACATACTTCTGCGATCTCACCAACTAGCTATATTGGTAAAAAATATATATTTTTGATTACGGAACACCAGGTTTCATATTTCTTCAAGCTAAATAATTTCTTTAATTTGTTTTGACACAACTAAAAAAAATTTCTGATGTTAAATTATGCTATTTAGTGATTTATTTCATGAATGCAAATAGTTGAATAATGCAGGTATATTTGATTTACACTGCAGATTAAATATATCCAAATATAACTATACACTTGGGTGTTTTCCTGTCTTTTATCATATTGCTAATACATATATCATATGTACATACAGATCTTTATTTGAAGACATTTTTTGCAATACTTTATACACAAAAAAGTTTCATACAACTATTTTTAGATCACTATGTAGACTTATAAAAAGTCAAATGTAGAGAAATTCACACTTTCACGTATCCAAGGCAAACATCTAAAAAATGATAAATTTATATCTTTCACATACTTACACTTGTAAGCTTTGTCTTTAAATGTTATTCTTAAATAACTTATGACACTAAGTGATAACTGTAGTGCATAAACAGTTAGGCTGTGTCATGCAGGCACACCATGCATTTTCTATCTTCTCATTTTAATGAAGAATTCTTTTTAAAAATTTCATTTATTCTAAGTCTATGCAATTTTTGCTTTACACGATGTTATGAAAGTCATTAAGCTGATTTTGTTTTAGATGTCTTTGTTCCTTTGTCATTCCAACTAAAAAGCTTCTTTTAAAGATATACTTCTACTTTGCTTCTACCTGATTTTCATATCCTCATCTATTGAGGCACGTATATATTGGTCTGTCCCATCAAACCAATCCTTTCATATGGAATATCTCAGTAGTATAGTTCGGCAAGTCTTTCCTAATCTTCCACAAGTTTGACTAAGATTTCTTCATTCATCTTTACTCTATTCTGGATACTTCCTTCTGGTGTGTCACTTTGAACCTGTTGGTATATAAGGATATCAGTGCTTAATAGATGTTACAGCTTTCAGCTAGAAGCAGGAATAGAAATAATGAAATAAAATTACATTCACTGGAGGGAAAGCTATCAGTAAGATTACATTCCTTGTGTAAAGTTGCATTTCCTCATAAATTGCTTTTTTTATTTTAATCCATGCTATATGTTCACTCTCATTGGTCATAATTAAAGGAATACAGATGAACCATGCATTGCCGATCGGGAATCCCAACTAAAAAGATGAAATTCCTCAAGCAAAGTTAATTTCCTCAATCCCTGTAAAAGATTATTCAATGTTGTTAAAACTGGTCCTCTTAATTAAGTAGCAAGATGAATAGCTTGTTCACCATTCAGTTTGAAAATTATTTCAAACTATGCCTCCCAGGGGTACCTTTCATTGATTTGGCCAGCTAATTTCTGAAATTGGGTTTGGTAATGACATGGCTGTAGTAGTCCAGGTAAGTCGTACAGTAACAGACAGCACAGCAGTAGCAGAAACAGATATACACCAAATAGGTTCTCCTATTCCATATTGAATAGTAAATGCCATTTAAGGTTGAAACTTGGGATTAGCTGCAAAGAGAGATGTGCCTGGTTTGATCTTTACATTTATCAATTCTTTTTTTCCAAATGTATTATTCTGTCAGTGACATTCTTTTTATACCTCACTGATCTTGCTGTTATAATCTTTCTGTACTTCTTCAATTTTGTTTTTGTAATTTAACTGTACATCTCCAATAGCTTCATCAATCAGATTTTTGTTCTTAATTCTTCCTTAAATATCATGTCTCTTTCTTTTAACTCTTTTCGTACCAATCTCTCACCTCTTTACCCTCTTTTCACTTTCTGTCTTCTTCTAATTTCAGGTTTCTTTGTTCCTGATCTTTTAATTTTCAGACTCTTTCTTCTTGATCTTCCTTTTGTTTTCTGTCCCATTCTCCTAATTTTTCTCTAATTTGCTGTCTCTTTCTTCTTGACTCTCATTTAATTGTTTCATCATCTCTAGTAAAGCTTTGACCTCACTTTGTGGTTGGGTTATCATGTTGAACTTTAGTCAAAGTTCTATTTTATTTTTAACAAAATAATTTCATTTCTGACTAGTGCTGGATGATTTAAATGATATAATCGATTAGCTATTAGTAGCAATTACATGGGTATGTGCATTGCTCAAAACTACCTATACAACCAAATAAAGGAAATAAAACTCTTAATTTCCTAGACTGATATAAAATAACATAAATTTCCTAAAATCAGAATCTCATCACTGAAAATGTAACGTTTAAAATTCACTTGATGGAATCCATTTGAAACCATCAGCTCTTTAAACACAAATTGCTTGTGAGTCCATTACTCTGTTGGATACAAAATCCCTAACACCATATGATTCATAAAGAAATTGATATAAAATTAGCATCAATATTGCAACTAATCCGCTAACTACTGTTATGGTCATTAACATATTTTCCTCATAAAATAAGTGATTTCACTTAATTTTGGTAAGCTCTTATTCTGAATGTTGTTCTAAACAAAAACACAGAATTAATCAACATTATGCAGTATGTGAAGCCCACTGGTAATAAATGGTATAAAACCAAATAAGTCATCAGAAGGTTGAATGCACTTATGTAGTTAGGAAGGAGATTACTTTTACCAAAGTTTTGCATTCTAACATCAAATTTTCAAATTGAAAAAAAAAGCTTACTTAAAATGGATCTGATTAACATCTTTAAAGTTGATAAGTGAATTGATAGTGTTAATACATAACCTTTTTTCATATTCAATGGTTAAAATAGTAGGCAAAACTAGACACAAATATTTTGACAGGGCAAGTTTTATCTTCAGCTAAGATAGTTTTGCTTTCCTAACAGAATGGTTGGTCTTTGGAATAGGTTGTCTTCAGATGTGGTGGGTGCAATTCATGGGAAGGCTTTATGAATATTTAACTTATAATTAAGGGCTGGTTTTGAGGAGTTTCTTTGCTTTTTTAAGTTTAGTTTAGTAGATATGATAGCCTTGATGGGCCAAAAGCCCCATGTTGTCCTTAAATGTTATATATTAAACTACATGTACTATATTAATAAATCAGAAACTGCCTAGCTTACAAAAATATGAAATTCACTTATAAAATGAAGAGTGCTGAATAAAAGAGTGAATCATCTTTGAATCAGCTCTTAGTATTATAAACAAATTTAGAAATACTACTTGCCAAAGAACTCTCCAACTCACTGACAAATAATGAACAATGAGTGTTCCAATACAGGGACTCCAATGATAACATTCACACATCTGGAGAAAATAACTGTTTATCACCACTCTTTGTTCTTTATAATCTAAACCAATTTTTGAAACATTTGTTTGATAAACCACTAATTTTATACACATCAAACATACTATAAATATCTTGTGGAGCATATTATCAAAAACCTTATTGAAAGTCAGTACAAATTAAAACAAAAACATACACTTATCAAAGTTTCTTACAAAATAAAGCAATTACATTTCAAATCATATTGTCCTAAAATTAGTCTCCCAGAAAAATAAGTCTGTTTCAGTTGTCATCCGAGCCCTCTTATTGCCAAAATATCATACAGATGTAGAGTACCGCCCTGTATGATTTATGTATGACTCTCTCTTTTCTGTATTAAATAAATCTACTACACGTGGAAAAAATAAACTAATGATAAAGTTATGTTTATTATAAGATGCAAAACCAAATGTACCTAAATGACTTAATACAATGACTATGGGTAAATAATGTGCCAGGTTGGTAGTAAAAAGGTTAACAATGTCTATATTTGGGCAGTGAGTCACAACAAAAGGTATAATATACACATTGATATTTCATTTGTTAATAACAATTAAAACAAATAGTAGATAAAAACTGAAAGATGTATTCAAAAATAATAAAATTATTTTATCAAGAAGGCAACTTAAAAATTTGTATAGATTATTGAATAAACCTAAAAAAAAAAAAGAAATTTTACTTAAAG